CCCCCGGCCCCCTCAGGAGGGCGGGCTGCCTCCCACCGCAGGCCCGCCGGCTCCCCGCTGCCGGGGAGGGCCCCACGCACATCCAGGGCCTGACTGCGTGCTGTGCTGGAGCACGGTTTTGCAGTGTATTCCCTCCCCGCTGCACCCTGCTGCAATGGTGGTTTCTTTCCGTGCTCACTAATGGCGGGAAATTGTGGGGTTTTTATTTTAAAAACGAGGAGGTGTGGGCTACCGGACGCCTGGTGTGGCAGCAGCAGCACCAGCACCGTGCCTTGCCAAGGACTGACCAAAATGCTGGTCAGGCCTTCTGGCCTAAGCCCTGGAGGTGAGCATCACCTGTACAGCCACAAACTGTTCACTTGTGAATGAAAACATGAGGAATGGAGAACAGCTGTGTACACATTCCAACTTCTTTTTTTCCTTAAATAGACAGGTATTGAAAAATGAGTGAGAACCTACTGTTTAAAAAAAAGAAAATACAGTTCATTTTGACACCTCTTTACCTCTCCTGAAGACAGCATTTACACTGCTAATATTGGACAAAGTCTTGTTCAATGCTGCTGTTAATATGAACTTCTTTTTTTTCTCTCCCCCCTAAAGGAAGGGTTTCTCCTTGGAGATGTGAAAGGTGAAGCCAAGAACAGCATTACTGACTCACAAATGGATGATGTTGAAGTTGTCTATACAATCGGTTAGTCTGTCCACATTTTTAATACCATGCTTGGTTGCAGGCAATATACAACTGCTTACAGTTTTGAATGAGGGCGGTCAACACCTTACAGCAAGATCAAAGCTGCTAGATCCTGGGGACCACCTTGGTGTAAAAAAAAAAAACAAAACCCGCCACATGGAAGGGTTATTTTGTAACATTTTAATTGATTTTAAAAATTACAATTTTACTGTAGAAAATATAATAATTTAACAGAAATACTAGTTCTTAGTTCCTTGAATAGCTCCTCTTTGGCAAATATTTTGTCACATTAAAGGTAATTTAGGGCTTAGACTCCTTTGTCTTGGCCACGTCACAAACTCTCCTGGACTAGAGTTGCACTGGAAAAGCTTGGCCTATTTCAGTGATGTGAACTAACACTAATGTGTTAGCATCTATTACCTAATTTGGAGCTTATAAAATACAGTGTGTGAAGGCTGCAAGCTATTTATGTATTTCATTGAGCAGATGCCAGATGTATTTTTCTTTATAGTCTTCATGGGATTGAAGTGGATGTGCATTTTATACTAGCCCTTAACAGAAACATATGTATATGTGCACATGCACACACATTTAACTCCCTTTAAAATGCAGTTACACAAAAAATAAAGAAGATAATCCAGTATGTGTCTTCTTTCCAATCTTCGTGACAATATGGTAGGGAGAAATTGCATCCCATTTTCTAGTTTTACTCTAGGATACAATTAAGGTGTAACACTTTCCTCCACTGAGTCTCACAGCTGAACCAAAAATATGAGGCATTTTTTGTGGTGGCAATCAAGTTACCCAGTCTTGTCATCACATGCTCATAGGCCGAGTTAGTTGCTCCAAAGTTTGGGGTGGTTTTTTTTTAGTTAACTTGTGAAAATGAAAGTAGTGAAGAATTTAGGGGGGGAAAAAAGGATTTAGAATGCCATTAGATCACCTACAGTTTTTTTCTAGTAGTCAGTCTTCCAGTTCTCATCATCTGCCCTATGGGTTTCTGTTCTCCAGCCTCATCTTTCTTACTAACAGGATCCATGCCTTGCTGCAGAGTAACTCAAATGAAGTCTTTCATATTACATAGTACTCCTATACTCAACAGAAGGGAGGGAAAAATAAAGTGCCCAATTTGATTTTTCACTTAACAAAACAGAAAAATGTGTAAAAAAATACAGTTTATATCAGTGGTTCCCTTTACATTTGAAAAATGAATTAGAATCTTTTTTAAAAAAAACTCCTTTCTTAATCTTATTTAATTAGATGTTAATGCATTTGATTTTTAGAATTCCTTCTCGGTTCTTCTAGCAGTTTAATTCTGATCATAGTAGATAGAAGAATATACATCTTGAACTGATGAACCCAGAGTAATATTACCTTCTCTTTCCAGATATACAGAAGCATGTTCCATGCTACCAGTTGTTCAGGTAAGAATCTTACGTAAACAGATATGAAGAAGTTAAAATTAACCCTAACTTGAACTCTTCAAGAGTTAAGCTTATATTACATTACTGAGAAACTCACCTGGCTGTAACTACAGCAGCCATATCAACCCCTTGGAATAACAGATACAAAATGCCTTATGTTATTCCTATTTTGGTTCTTCATGTCCTTTTTTAGTGTTTGTCTGTATATATAGAGATATGGCATACTCTACCTTCTGATGAGCTATGATACCATATGAACTACAGAATAACGTCAACATACTGAACAAACAACATTGCTTTTTTAAAGCATACATCCCAACCCCTCACCCCCAAAAAAAAAGAAATAAAAAGGTAGCATCGGCCATAGGCTTCTAAGTGGGTCAGAAACACTTGTTAGCCTTATGGCAGGAGTAATTTCAAGGACTAGTATTTAGAGTTCCATCATAGACGGGAACACAGCTGTGCGGGTTTGCATCCCTGGAAGGGGAGAATCACAACACAAATTTCCTTCTCAAAACTTTCTGAAAACTAATAAACCCAGATGTTACTAGAAAGGCATTTCATATCAAATTGAAGGCATCTTTCTATTTTGTAGTCAAAAGGATATAGATGCTACCTTTAACTTGTGTCCCAATAGCGCTGATGCCAGAACAGCATCTAAGCTGTACAAGACCACCTACATATCTATTTGAGTAATGAAATTATCTGCACTGTCCTAGCAGAGCAGCTGTATCAGCATATCTTTATGCTTACCAGGGGGAAAAATAGCTATTAAAGTGGGATGACTGCCAGACTACTAGGGAATAATTATTTCTACAGTAGCATTTTTTTTTCCTCTAATTGTCCTAATTTTCTTCTAGCTTTTATAATTCTGCAGGAGAACTGAATGAACTTGCCTTGAAGAAAATACTATCAGGCTGTAAGAAGGTACTTTATTTTCAAACCTAAACCATACCAGGGAGCTCACTCAGATTTTGGGGGCTGTTCTGGATACCTCTTGTATCAAGCTTTTTTTTCTCTTTCATCTTTTTTTATCTTGTATCTAGTTCCTCACACTGCTGGTCAAGGCAGCTGCATCATCTTTCCCCCCTAAAAGAACAGTTTACGTTATTTTTGACTGGGTTTCCCTACATATGTCACAACTTTATTTTTTCTTATTCATTTCTCAAGCAAACAGTTCAAACATCCCAAAGGGATTCTACTGATTCCTAGCTTAAGATCAGTTGACGTCAGCTCACTCAAGTGGTTCAGTGCCACTTGACCAAAAAAACTTACAGTCTTCTCCACAGAAGAAAGTTTCACAAGGGGAAGTAGATGCTGGAAAGAGCCAACCAGCAAAATAGCAGCACCAAGTTTGTAGAGTTTCACCTTGAGCACAACATCAGAAAACGAGCCAGTTCAACGCATGGTTTTGAAGGAAAGAGAGGAGTTGTCATACTCAAATTAGACTTAGATGCTTTAAGGGTTTCAAGTTAACCAACTACTTGAATATATACGCATCACTGAACAATTCAGATTCATGACTTTGTACTGAATCCTCTAGCTTGCTTCAATATGACACACAGGGACAGCACAATTCAAAAGTAATAATGAATCTTCTTCTGCCTGCAGAGTGTAATAGGATGGTACAAATTCAGGCGTAACACAGACCAGACCATGACATTCCGGGAAAGACTTCTTCATAAGAATTTACAGTCTCACCTATCAAATCAGGGCCTTGTATTCCTTTTGTTAACCTCTAGCGTGATGACAGAAAGTTGTTCTACTTACAGACTGGAACATGCCTTACATCGGCCACAAGAAGGGTAATTGGTTTGTTCTCTACTTTTAATAAAGCAATAGCACAGCACATGCTATAAGTTGGAACAGTTTGGGGTTTTTTTGTTGCAATTGAACTATTGTTGACACTGTGTATTTTACCCTTGAAACTTACACATTAAATAAGATCATTTCTTATATTGCTGGAGCCTCATTGCAATCTTACCCTGGAATTCTGTTCAGGGAATTTGCCTTTATAACTATCTGTAGTGCCAGCATCAACAGGCAGACACTGTCAGTTCATTTATGCACATAAGCTGTTCTTGCTCAATTTGGTTTTGTGTCTAGGACTTCAACTATGCATGGTGTTCATCTTCACATATCACTGAAATACTTAAATTGGTGGTAATTTTCAGAGACGTGCTGCCCATAGGCTAGGCATAACAAGCAAGTATTGATTTATTGCAACTCACACCCAGAAGTGGGAAAATACTAGAGGCATTGCTCAGAGTCTTTTTGCTCTTGTAGTTTGCCTTTAGCCATAAGAAGTTGTCTATGGGTGATAGGATACATTTAGCAAGAACTAACTATACTGTAAACCTCCATCTGGGATGCTTAATGGTCAAGAACCTTTAACTAAAGAGAGGCCTTTGGATGTTAATAAATCAGTTCTCATACTTCTGCTTTTTAAGTCTTTTCCAGAAAGTTCCTTTGGTGGTTACCAACTTGGGCATGGCAGAACAGCAAGGTTACAGAACAGTGTCCGGTTCCTGCATATCTTCTGGTTTTGTGAGAGCAGTAAGACAACACAGGTACAATACATGCCATATTTACTGATAGCTCTAGCTTTCAGTTAAGTATAGTTATCTTTCTATAAGACTTTTTTTTTAAGTGCTTTTGCAAATGCTACAGCCATACCTAGCCCACTTGTTGACCTGTCTCCTACAACTATTTACCTTTCCAAGGTACTCAGAAATTAGTGAAGTCCCATACTTTGCCATGAGAGCAGCTGTCTCTCTCAACATAGGCACCTGGTGTTGAAGCTCAAAATGCTTCTTTATTCACTATACTCCTACTAAGTAAGCACTGGGATCATTAACTTGCAATTATATTCTTGGTTGACAGGTCAGAATTCTTTTACGAAGATGGATCCTTACAAGAGGTTCATAAGATAAATGAGATGTATGCCACGTTGCAGGAGGAACTGAAGGTAAGTCAGGCATACCTGCCGATACAGTTACTTTCGGCAGTACTACAAAACCAAGTCGAGCAAAGGGTATACCATCTTGCACTAAATAAGAAACAGAGCTGTGCCTTGGAAGCACATGTTGAAAGATCAGGGACTGTTAGTAGCTGTACACTAAGTTCTCAAAGTTGAAGACTTAAGTTTCAATTTGATCAAAAAAAAGTACAGTGATAAATCCTCAATTCCACTGATAAATTTGCATCTTGCACCTCATTCAACACAAGGTTGAAGTTATCATCTCTAAAATCTACCTCAACCTCATTACTTAAGCGTTTTAATACTTTGTGTCCAACTTAAAAAGTCATGAGTAACTTTAAGGATTTTGTAACAAGGTTAAAGTCAGCTTCTGTGAATACTGTTAATCCCATCAAATGTTCTTTTCCTTGCAGAAAATATGCTCTACAGTAGAAGCCAGTGAACGATCTGTAGAGAAGCTCTTAGCAGAGGTGAGCCAATTAAAAGAAGAAATAAAGAGGAAAAAGCAACAAAGTTGTTCAGGTAAGTTAAATAAATGCAATGCCAGTCTTACTGACTTCCAAAGTTGATTGACTTGACAGAAGCACAAAACACTTCTGAACTTGAGGCAGCCAAAACAGTAGTGGTAGAAGTGTGCAAGAGGGACTGCAACTCTAGCTTTATTTTTCTTTTTCCAGGAGAAGACAGGGACTACACAGAAGAGCCAAAGGAGAATGTCCTCCTTTGCCAGGCAATGCAAACATTCTTCCCCAATTCTGGACTTCAGACATGTATTGTTTCCTTCAAAGGCCGACAGATATTCAAGAACTGCTGTAACATTGACCATAATATTAATGTTATGGACAAACTGACTCTCATGGTAGAGGAAAGAGACTTCACTGAAGCTGAAACAAGACACCTAACCAAGCGTAAAGTCAGAGGGACCACAACAGGATCAAAGTCGTTCAAGAAATCCAGATCACTGCAGCTTCACCAAAAATTACTTCAAGACCAAGAAGACAGTGACCAGGAAAGGAAGCTTATGCTGAGTAGCAATGAAACAGATGAGGACATGTTGGAAAAAATTAGAGACACAAATGAATACCCACACTCTCCTACTTTCTGATCTGTTAGCAATTTGTCCAGACGACCTTGCACCAAAAGTTACTGCCAGCATATTCAAGTGACACAATTTATAGCACTGCAGGGATAAAAAAAACCAGTGCATTTTTGAAAGACATACAGGTTTAGGGTTTTTTAGTTTCTGGGGGGTTTTAATGCAGGAATCCCGTTTGGCATAGAGACAAGTCCAGATGACATTCCCTCATTTTGCCTTCCAGAGTTAAATCTGTATTCGCTCTCTCAGGGTTTAAAGACTATGCTAGCAGGATGTTAGCAGTCATAACCATGTCACATACTGCCTCAGAGTAATACAACTTCCTGTTGTAGTACTGTTGAAGAAGCAGCACTACCCTTTCCTCAGCAGCAGCTGAGGCAGGGAGCATCAAATGAACACAGGTAACATGCTTAACAGAACTAGCTGTCTATATAAATTGCCACAGTTTAAATACTTTAATTTATCCTTACCTATCAACTGCTTGTTTATTTGTTCCCCCCTTCCAATCCAGCATGGGAAAAACAGACACCTGAACTTTAGCAAGACCTGAGAGCAGAGGAAGTGGTCCATACAGTTGCCCATTTCTACTATTGCTTTCATCTTTCATACTTCCTTCACACAATTTTAGAGACTTGACCATAAAAAAGCAACTGACATCCACCCTTCAGTCAGTGATGCATTATGCTAGCCAACCACACTTCCAGTAAACAAGTATATAAACATGAAAAGCAGTTTTATTGTTTATTTCTTCATAATATATTACTCTGGATACTTGATATTACATATCTTGGGGTCTGTGAGAAACGATGGGTCCTTAAACATAACTGGCATAAATCCTGTAAAAACATAAGATGGAGGGTTTTTTTTAATAGGAAAGTAGGCTTGATTTAAACTCAAAAGCATAATCATACTTACCAAGTACATGAGCTCTTTTAATGGCTTTTGTAATTTCCTTCTGCTTCTTGTTGCACAAGCCTGAAGAGAGAAATCATTTTCAGTCTCCTAAGTCAACAATAACCAAATCATTAAAGGGTAGAAGTGCCATTACTGTCAATTCCCTCTAGCTTTGTCTAAGTCTTCCTAGAAAAATGCATGTCTGCTTATACTGTTAAATACAAAAAACCCCCATATAATTAAGGGATATATTCATTCCTTGATGAAGGCTACTAAGTTGGAGGAATACTATTACAAAATGTATAGAGTTGGCAGTAGTTACTTTTGGAAAGATAGCTGATACACAGTTACTTGGACTCACAAGAACATTAATATTAGCCGGTAAATTATTTAATTTGATACTTCACATACCTGTTATATGCCTGCCATAAATGCAGCCAGTATGCGGAGAAACAAACTGGGAAAGAAGCTATTTAAGAAATCCAAAGTCAGTTTAAGAACTTTTTAGAGAGCTTTATTTTACTACTTGCATTCTATTTTTCATTTTTTTGGTCTGTTTTTACAAAAAACTCAGTTCTACCTGGAGACAAGAAAAAGTATAGCTTGGAGTTAGACAGTATTTTATATGCCATAATATTTAAGCTGTATGGCAGTGGAATTAGAATTGAGGACTCTACTTGGTAAATAACAAAGTTGTAACACCTGCACATAGGACTAGTAGATTGAACAGCTTATCACAACTGCATTATTTGGCCCTTGCCTGCACACATTCTTACTCTTAAGTTTTAAGCCCCTAACATAGTGAATGATTTTTCATTTTTTATTCTTGTGCACTTCCTACGCACACATTTAAAAATAGCAAACCAGTTACCTTCATCTAAGGACAGGAATTTTCTAACTCACCTGCACATTCTTGTAGTCCACACTTATTCCACACAAGACACATTTTTTAGGAGGCTCTTTATAGGGGTTCTCCATTTGTATGGGCTGAAATTAGAGAATTATTAACATCTGTAAGCTTCACAAGAAATAGGGAATGTTTGTTATTTTTATCCTTTGGGCAAAATATGCCTTGAAACCAAAAGAGGTATTTGGTACATCACTGAAGTTTTTCAGTAACTTTCTTACCGCTGTTTCTCTAACACACACATTGGTACCTAGCAAACTAAAAAAATTCTCACAGCTACACAGCCTTTTATGTCTTAATGACAATGTAACAAGTCACTTAAAGCAATCAAGAAGAGTGCTTACCCCGTTTACTTAGAAGGCAATATCTACAAAAGCTGGTAGTAAGGTAGTTGTCTGACAAGTCACAAGAGACTTTTTTTGAAAAAAATTTCAAAGCAAGTGGCCTGAGGGAGCTCCTGTCTGCTCACATGCTTTAACTGAGAGAGATTGCCAAATATCTCCCAAGCCCTGAAAGGCTCCTTAAGCTTCAGAACACACCCTGCACCAAATCGTTTCAAGATACAAGTGGAAGGACAAGTTTCATTTTTGCAGACATCGGTAGAATTTGGGCAGAGAAAGACTATTTTTAGAAGTTTTTGCTGGTGCCGGACAACACATTTTTATGACCTAACCACCAGGCCTAGTGCATTCTCTCAGCTACATACAGGAAATCAGCGCTGCCAAAGTTTTTTGCGCCACATTCGAGCTGCCGAGACGGCTGGTTGAGGTGACAACGCTTAAGATACCGTACACCTACAGCGCCTCAACTTCAACGCCGGCTCATCTCCTTCGGCGCTGCCTTCCTGCTCCGCAACACGCCACGTAACGGAATTCCGGTTCTCCAGGAGCCCGAGCTACGTAAAGGCCCCAGCAAAGGGTTCTCAGACGCCCCCGCTGCCTGACCGGAGCCCCTCCCGGTAAAGGCGGCAGCGGCCCCGGAGGCGGTAGGAAGCGCCGAGCTCACCGCGGGCTACGCCCGGGGGGAGCCTCACCTGGTCGGACGGGCTGGGCCGCCCCTCATGCTGCAGGCGGCGCGGCTGCTCCCACAGCGGCGCTGCAAGGGAAAAAGCGACGGGATTAGTGGCGGTGGAGCAGGAGGAGAGACCAGCCAGCACGGCCGTCTCGCTGGAAAGGGGAAAGGAGGAGGAACGCACCGGGCACCAGCCTCCGCCAGGGGCCTCGCGCCGCCACAGCCCACCCCGCCATATTGCGCGCCACCTACAAACAACGCCACTTCCGCCTATGCGCCTCTACCTTCCGACTACAGCCGCCTCCCTGCCCCTCCCGCCGGTACAAACGCCATTGGCTGGCCAATGGGGCCGCGGCCTGCCCTACTTGAGGCAGGCGATTGGCCGCTGCCTGGTAATGGTCTCGGTACGTCAGAGGCTTGTTGGCGGAGGTTGCGGCGCTGGGTCGCCGCTCCCTCATGGCAGTCCCTCGCCGCACCCTGCCGCGACGGTGACGCTCTCCGCACCGCTTTCTCTCGCAGCCCCGGTTTCAGGGCGGAGACTGACACACACACCCGCCCCCCCAACTCCACGGGCAGCGGTGATGGCCGAGCCCAGTCTCGCGGTGCGGAGGAAGAGCCGCCCCGGCTCTGTCAGCAAGCGGAGCCGGGCCCCGGTGCAGCCCAGCGCCGTCTGCTCGCCGGTGGCTCGCAAGAGAATGAGCTCCGGTGGCGAGGGACCCCCGGCAGAGACCCCGGTACGGGGCTAGCGGTGGCGGGGGTGCGGGCAGGCTTCTAGGGCTGGGTATCGAGGTGGGGGGGACTCCGTCTGGGAGGGTGGTTTGGCCCCAGACTGAGCCTGCGTGATGTTTATCGGGAAAGGCCTTGCTTTGTATGAGGGGGGGGTGATGCGTTTTGGCTTCAACTTTAAAAAAAAAAAAATCATCGCTACCAAGTAGCTATGCAGGCATCAGGTCTACTTGTAGGTTAGGTTTCATTGAGTTAAAGCATGTGTTCTTTAGAGGTCAAGCTAGATTTTCCTCACAAACACACTTAACTTTCTTGTTAAGTTGGGGAAGACTTAAATGACTTGCATGTAATGTGTGTGCTGTACAAGTTATGCTGCCTTTTTTGTTGTTACTTTGCAGTATTAATACTCTGTTATTTTTTTTACAGTGTAGTAATGAGAGCGAAGAAGATATGTTTGGTGACCATGACAGCTTTTATGGAAATGATTCTTTGCTAGCTGAAGTTGATGATATAGAGAAGAAGTACCTGCAGGATAAAAATACAAATATTAAAGTAGCTGGAGAAATCATAATTGGGAATCAGTCAGGAATTCACCAGAAAAAACAAGATCATTTTTCTAATTCAGAAAATATGGTTGTTTTTAAAGCTGACAAAGAGGATGCTTTCCAAATGAATGACAATGACCCAGTGGATAGCAATCAAGAACTGACTGAATCTACTTTAGATGACTTGCCATCATCACAACTTTTGTATTTTGAGAAAATGGGTGAACTTTCTTCTGGTTCTAGAACATCTCCAGTCTCAGAAAGGAGGAATAAATGTGTGAATTTTTCCTTGGACAAAATCAGGAGTCCATCTTTTTGTCCTGATACTGAACACAGGAACAGACCTACTGACTTTTCCTCAGACTCTAAGTGTGATTTATTTAAAACTGAGAGTCTTAAAGATCATCTGAAAAGTGCTATGACTGGAAATGCTAAAGCCCAGACTCTGCAGGTTTCTAAGACCAAGCAGCTTAAAGAAGCTGTTTTATCTGAAGAGATTTGTGTTGCTAGGAAAACTATTGAATCTTCTTCTGTTGATATAGGCCCTTTTTATGGATTACCTAGCAAAGTTAAAGATCTATTCAGACAATTTCGAGGGATTGAAACGCTTTATGGTAATGTAACTAATGGTTTGTTGAAAAAAAAAAAATTGCTAGTAAAGTGTTGCCCAGGTAATATTTAATTTAAACCATGTTGGAAAGTGATTGTTTTGTTTATTAAGTTGTTTTTTTGGATGGGTGGTAGAGGTTGATATGGCTTATAGAATACTTTGGAAGGCTCAATCACTGAAAGCTTTTAGTGGTTTATTGAAGAAAAGCTCTCAAACGCTAGGCTTGAAGTATTCTATATGAAGCATAGGCATTTTGATATTGATTAACATGCCCCTGAGGGTTGCTAATAATTCCTTTTTAATTTTGCAGAATGGCAGCATGATTGCTTAATGTTAGAATCTCTACAGCAAAGGAAGAATTTAATATACTCATTGCCAACCAGTGGTGGGAAAACACTCGTAGCTGAAATAATAATTCTCCAGGAATTACTCTGCAGGCAGAAGGATGTTCTGATGATACTGCCATATGTTGCCATTGTTCAAGAAAAGGTCTGGATACAGTGTTTTTGATACTGCTTATCTTTTCTGATGTGCCTTGTTACTTGGCTGATTTTAACACTAATTTTAGCAAAGTTCATGATTTTCATAAATACATGGTGGGAAGTGAGTGACTTCTCTCCTAAATGCTGCTATGAGGGCCAGTAATTTCATAATAAAACAGACCTAAATTATGAGCTGAAGATGCTGAGTTATAAAGTGTGCTGAACTTTGAAATAATAGCTTTTTGCAATGTTATGTATAGTTCTGCAGTCTTAGAGCTGTACTGCCTGACTTGCTAAAGAAATGGTCTTGAAATAAAAGCTGGTGTTTTTTTGATGTAAAGGAAAAGTTAATTTTAGAGAACAGACGTAACCCAAGCTTGATAATATTTGTAAACACTTTAGCTTTGCAAATGGAAAAGGTAGTCATAGGTAATATGTTTTCACCAATTCAAACAGTTGATTGTGGTGTGGTTTGATTATATGCATGTTGAATTGTTGAGGCAGCTCTGAAATCCAAAATGAGCATGAGTTTGTTCTGCAGTTGATCTCTTTTTTTACAGGTTAGGGGTTTATCGAGTTTTGGGATAGAATTGGATTTCCTGGTTGAAGAATATGCAGGAAGTAAAGGAAGATTTCCACCAATCAAGAGGAGAATAAAAAAGTCTCTTTATATTGCTACTATAGAAAAAGGACATGCTCTAGTGAATTCTTTAATTGAAACAGAAAGAATTGATGACCTTGGTCTGGTTGTAGTGGATGAGGTATGCTACAAGATTTACTCAGATCTATAATATGCGATTTTTTGTGTCTATAATACACAATTATTAGCAAAGAGCATATTTTTTGATTACTTGGTTTTGCTTTGAGTGTTTATCATGAAATTATTACTACTTAACTAAGTTTTTTCTGCATGGGTACATAATTCTGTAATACTGAAAGTTATTTTTCTTTAACTGGAGCATTTGTTGTTATATTAGGACAACAGTTTCTATACTGAGAGACCTGCTGTGTTAGTGGTTGATGGTGAATTACTTAATAACTACTTGTCAATTAGGCATCCCTAATGGATTAGAAAAAACATATAATTTTAATCATATGGCATGTATCTTATGAATCCCAGAACTGAAATCCAAAATGTGAAACCATGAGACTTTGTGTCTGGTATTAATAATGATTAAATGAAACATTAAAAAAAAAAAAAAACCATCAAGTAACACTTAACTGAGAGTTGCCCCTTATTCTGCTTTTTAGTGGTGTGGCTGAGTTGTGCTGCTAAGGGTTGGTTGTGTTGTAACACCTAACAGGGATGTTTAATTCATGGAATGCTTCAGGCTGACTGACCTTACTTTAACACAGTAGCTTCTAAACAGAAGGCAGCTTAAGAATTAACTTCTTTTTCTGGAAGTAGCTGGCTGCTAGAAATTTTTTTATATGAACTTCTACTGTAAGTGTTGCTTAAAACACAGTTCGTCTAAAATTGCTTTAGGCTGGTGAATACAAAGATCTCCATGTTGACTGTTTACTGTCAGGAGTTAACTCTTTCTGTCAGTTATGGTCTAGTTAACTGGAAGGTAAATCTTGTTATCTATGTTTGCTCTTGGGTCAGTTTTTCTGTGGTTCTTAAATGTTTTTTCAGTGAGGCTATACTTCTGGAAGGGAGCTTAGCAGTCAAAATATACCAGAGGGATATCATGAGGAAGTCCAGCAAAGACATTCCTGTAATATTTGTTTATGACTACATAATTTGTTTTTTTAGTAGAAATACTCTTAACTCAGTAATATTCTTAACGTTTTCTTTTTCCCTTCTTTGCACAGTTGCATATGCTTGGTGAAGGAAGTCGTGGAGCAACACTGGAAATTACTCTTGCAAAAATTCTTTATACTAGTAGTAAGTCATGGCTGCAGTTAATGTTATTAAAATATTGTAGTGATGGCATCTCTAGAGAGAAGTCACACTTTTGCTTTCTGGATTTATGGTGTTCTGGCCACTTTTGAAAAACATGGTATAACTCCATGCATTAACAGTGTTTACCCATCTAAGTGTTAGTCAGTTGACCCTGTGTCGTGGTTTAACCTGAGCCGGTGCCTAAGCACCATGCGGCTGCTCACTCACTTCCCCCTGACCCAGTGGGATGGGGGAGAGAATCGGGGAAAAAAGAAAAAGTAAACCTCATGGGTTGAGATAAGAACAGTTTAATAAAACAGAAAGGGATAAACTAATAATGATAATAACAATGATAAAAATAATAAAAGAATTGGAATATACAAAACAAGTGATGTACAATGCAATTGCTCACCAGTTGCCGACCAATGCCTAGTTAGTTACCAAGCGGTGATCCCCCGCAGGCCAACTCCTCCCAGTTTATATACTGGACATGATGTCACATGGTATGGAATATCCCTTTGGCCAGTTTGGGTCAGCTCTCCTGGCTGTGTCCCCTCCCAGCTTCTTGTGCCCCTCCAGCCTTCTTGCTGGTTGGGCATGAGAAGCTGAAAAATCCTTGACTTAGTCTAAACACTACTTAGCAACAACTGAAAGCATCAGTGTTATCAACATTATCTTCATGCTGAATCCAAAACATAACACTATACCAGCTACTAGAAAGAAAATTAACTCTATCTCGGCTGAAACCAGGACACCCTGTAAGATGGGCTGGGATGTTTTGAAGCTTTTTTGATACTTCTCTGAGAAATCTTGAGTGTTGTCAGATGTCTTCCATTTCTTCATAGGAGCCCCTTAGCTATTCCAATTAAATGCTTTATAGAGAAGGATTCCTTTTTTATATTTGTCTCAGGAAGTATTTCTTAGCTACATCCCCCTTAAAACCTTCTACTTTGGCATTTAAAAAGACTAATGATGAGGAAGCAGGCTTATGGATTAAATACTGAGGAGAAGTGTTAAAAATTGCAAATATGCAGTAAATTAATCTCAACTTCTGTTTTACAGAAAACACTCAAATCATTGGAATGAGTGCAACTTTAAATAATGTTGGAGACCTGCAGAAGTTCCTACAAGCAGAGTACTATACTAATAACTTTAGACCGGTCTGTATACAAGATACCATAAACTAGTGAAGATATTTGGCTTTAA